AATATTTTCTAGTAGGTAGTGACCCAGCAGACCTCTCTGGGAATAACGCTACTTGCTCCAAATTATTTTCATTTACTCAAAGTTCTTTCTACTTCCTACAAACAATATATATATATATATATATATATACATATATATTATATAAATTTTAAATAAAGACTGGACATTTAGCCTTTTGCATTTATTTTAAAAGTTTATTATATTACGATCGGTAAGCTACCAAAGTGGACCATAGCCATAATTTTTTTTTATAAAAAAAAAATGTAGAACAAATACTATGTTCTTTTTTAAATTGGGTGATGCAGTTCTTTAAATTCATTTAGATAGTTTCATTTTCTGTCTTAATTTTGCCAAGTTTAATTTTACACCCTTTTAAAACTGATAATTTCTTTTTTTTTTTTAAATGTGCCATCGCAAATAATAATTCGATTGGTATGTTTGTATGGCTGTAACGCTGTGTTCAATAGGCGCGCAAAATATATTTTAAAAATCCCCAGAAGTTAGCACTAGTTTGGGTTCTTATAACGTGCGTTACATGAATGCATGCTCTGTCAAGTAACTTTAGGAGATGGGAAGTTCACGCATTGCCGCCGCCAATTGTTTGTCGGGTCATTTCTAGTAATTAGAGAATGTGTTAAGTAAGAACAAGCCCTATGTGCATAAAAGGTCTCAGACTTTCATTGTATTATTTATCTGAGAGACGTAGCAGTAGTCTCAAAACCCCATTAAAGCCTTAAGTACGGTACACCAGTTTGATTTTATTTTTCCTTTTCGAATTTCGTACAGCTATACTGCAGCTATTTAAAAGTTAAAGAATGTATTGCGCATTTAGTAAAATCTTTGCGTTTTATCTACGCGATTTTAAAATGAGTAAATGATGAGAACTTCAACTTCATTCCCATTTTCCAAGGATTAAGTCTGGAGCTGGAAGGTGTTGGGGAAATAGAGGGAATTTACTCCAATAATTGTAGGTGTTACGCTTAAAAGTGTATTATCTCCCTTAATATGATCTCTCGTCTCGAATTGCATGTTCTGGAATATGACTTCCTATGCAAAGACCTCCCCATTAGGGTTTCTCTCCCGGGAATCCCTAATATATATATTTTTTAAAACGTAAATTAAAGACTTCCCGGGAAATTTTTCATCCCGGGAAATCCCGAGTCAACACATTTAAAAAATTATGTTCTTTAAACAAAATTAGCAAGTGACAGATAGCACAAATTATCGCTATATGATATGTAGTTTATGCCAAGACCTTTTAAAAAAAAAACCAGTTACCTGAGCTGAATTACTTGGCTCAATAGCTATAGTACACAGGTTCTCAAGCGTTTTCAAGGCACGACAATAAAGTGCCCTTACCACGATAAATTGTAAAAAAAAAATAATAATTTAAAAACTTTAAAAAATGACTAGATAGATTGTTGAGGGACACGTCCAGGTGCAGGGTTAACCCGGGCTGCACCAGCATGACGTAATTGGTGACAAATTAAAAGATTTGATTGAAAATTTAACTCGAACTTTAAAACACCTATTATAAAAGAAAGCTATTTAAAAAATCACTACTTCTCTACGTCAATTGTTTCAGGCGGTGACCCATCATTATCATAAATGCCTCCGCAACCCCATTTGAGGACATTAGTAGCACGTGACCAATACCTCAACTAACCATCACATTGCCTTTTTTTTTATTCTTTATTATTAGACAATAAAATTTTAAGAAACTTATAAAATGCAACCCTTTTATAGCTTAATTTGGTTTATAATATATTTATAATGAAATTAATTTTATCCCAAGATTTTTCTGGGAATCCGCCCCCATCCCCCAAAAATCCCTAACCCCCCCCCCCCACCTCGCAAAATTCACCTATCATATTCCCCACTTGTTTCTAGAACCATCAAAAGCACCACTGAGAAATATTATTCCTCTTTTTTTTTTCAGGGTTGAAAGAAACAAAGTTTAAACATGAGCTATGTGCTAGAATGCATTTTTGCATTTTAAGTTTATCAAAAATTTTCTGGGGAGGGTCTCAATGACCCCCCCCCCCCCAACCTCGACATTGCACATTATAATCAGAGACTCAACGTTTCTGAGAGTCCATTTATTGTTGAGATGTCCCGTTAAAAATGAAAGCAAAACAACAACATTTTCTGTTTTTACGGGCAGTCAACAATCCTGAACTCTTGACCATCACTCTGGCTGAGAGTGATCCGCGGGCCAACCGAAATGCAATTGTTTGGAAAATATAGGGGTCACTTATTTGTGTACAATTTCAAAGGGTTTGTGTTCAGATTCACCAAAGCGTGATGGTCACCCTCAGCCACACATAGTAGTAGTCACATTCACGGACATGTTACCATTTACCCAAACATGCATCATTTCACAGATATTCCGAATCCAATTCACCAATAAGGTATCCACTTTTACAGAAAGAAAAAAAAAAGGGGGGGGGTGTCACCAGTTTCAGACCAGCGGAGTTTTCACTTCGCACACCCCTGGTAGACATATGGCACTTGATCCCAGGGATTATCCTCCTCTATTAAACTTAACGGAACACCTTACGTTTTCAGTTTGTAACATTTCACTCAAATACTCGCAATGTCATGATGACTAAGGGAACAACTGGTTTGCGATAAATTAAGTCATTTTTTTTACTATGAAGAGGTGTCACAGATGTATCGTTGTGCCGTGTCACTTATGGGCCTCTAACCCCTTTTTGTGTCACGGCCCTTTTGTTAGTGAAAAATATAGTTCGTCAGTCGAAATCGACCACGGCCACATTAACTATCGTGTACGCTAATTGTGAACTTGGCTGTGGGGTGAGCAGATGGCCGGTGAGACCGGTTCTGCCATGAAATGTTCGTGTGCAGTTAAGTGCATGAGATTGGTGGTACAGAGTTAACCCGGGCTTCTCTGGCATGTCTTATGCGCCCTGCGGCTGCTGTTCTGTTGTTGCCTTCGTGGCGTACGGAGCCTGTGTGTACAGAGGAACGCCACGATGCTCGATCCTTGGCCGAATCTTCCCGTGTCCCGATCTTTATCCCACGCTTTCAGTTTCAGTGAGATACAGTGACACCTAACACAGATGCTTTTAGATAGGGTAGGAGAAAGCACATGCAAATTAGATTTTTCAGTATAATATATAATTCAGTCAATATGGCAAATTATGTTGTTTTTTTTTAAAATTAGGTAGAGATTTGTGCAAACAGTTAAACCGGAACTACGTGAGTTGCTATTTGGCACCAGATCCGATAAATGTCACTCTAGTAATAGTAACCACTGCCCCAGACACAGTGAAGTACACTCTAGTAACCACTGGCCTAGATTCAGTGAAGTACAATCTGGTAACAACGGTCCTAGATTCAGTGAAGTACACTATGGGAGCCACTGTCCTAGATTCAGTGAAGTACAATCTGGTAACCAATATCCTAGATTCAGTGAAGTACAATCTGGTAACCACGGTCCTAGATTCAGTGAAGTACACTATGGGAGCCACTGTCCTAGATTCAGTGAAGTACAATCTGGTAACCAATATCCTAGATTCAGTGAAGTACAATCTGGTAACCACTGCCCTAGACTCAAAGAAGTACAAGCTGGTAACCCTAGACACAGTGAAGTACACTCTGATAACCACTGCCCCAGACTCAGGAAAGTACACTCTGGTAACCACTGCCCTAGATTCAGTGAAGTACAATCTGGTAACCACTGCCCTAGATTCAGTGAAGTACCATCTGGTAACCACTGCCCTAGACTCAAAGAAGTACAAGCTGGTAACCCTAGACACAGAGAAGTACACTCTGATAACCACTGCCCCAGACTCAGGAAAGTACACTCTGGTAACCACTGCCCTAGACTCAGTGAAGTACACTATGGGAGCCACTGTCCTAGATTCAGTGAAGTGCAATCTGGGAGCCACTGCCTTGGACTCTGTGAAGTGTACTCTGGGAACCACTGTCCTAGACTCAGTGACTATGTATTTCATTGTCCATTGTAGACCTCAAATTTAAATTCAATCCATTAAAATTAGTATTGACTAAAGAGTGGTTCAAACAATTAGTGCAGGGATTCCCAGTAATCCTAGCCTGGGGTGGGAGGTGGCATTTCGCAGGGGTACAGGGAAACATTAATAAAATTATATAACTTCATTTACCGGCAAGAACAGAGTGTGCATTGACTTTTAGGATATCAATTTTTAAATATTTTTAAAACTTCTTCATAAACATTTACTAGTTACAAGATTTTTAAAAATAAGTCATAAGTTTATTTTCTTACTGTTACACAGATCTCTTTGTATAGTTATGCAATAAATTAAGAACTCCATTATTTAAACATATTTTAATACCCCAATGTATTGTTACTTTTGTGGGGGTCCAGCTTAGTAAAACCATAGTAGGGCGTGTGGAATATACAAAAGGCTGAGAAACACAAATAGATTATTTGAATTTTCATTGTCTAGGAGTAAAGCGCCACCTACCAGTACATTGTTTCCCTAACATTCGCTATGTTTGTCTCCCCATAGAAATAGTTTGATTAATTCTCACATTCCTCTTCAAATTTAAATTTTATTACAAAAAAGAAAAATGTTTATGGTAGAAATAAATCTAGTAAAAAAATAATTTTATATCATAACTTGTAGGACAACGCATTACTTTCCCTGGCAGGTTGGAAAACCCTTAAGTAGGAGATCATATAATATATTATTGTGGATTTCATCCTGTGAAGTCTCCACCATCGTCACATTGTGACGGACGGATGCCAGCAAAAAAAAAAAATATTTATATATATATGTATATATATATATATATATATATCATTTTCCATCAACATGTTTTAATCTATTTACATACTATGTCTTATAGTCATTAGTAAAATTGCTATGGTACTCATTAAATTTGTGGATTTCATCCTGTGAAGTCTCCACCATCGTCACATTGTGAAGGACGGATGACAAAAAAAAAAAAAAATATTTATATATATATGTATATATATATATATATATATATCATTGTCCATCAAAGTGTTTTAATCCATTGACATACTATGTCTTATAGTCATTAGTAAAAATGCTATGGTACTCATTAAAAAAGTTAAGAAAACTTTGTAAGAAAAGAATCATTCTTTATTGCATTATGTCTGAATGGTCTGCCAGTCATCACCTGGAATCAGGCAATGACTTTTCAACTGCTTGTAATGTATGGAACTATAACCACCTGGAATCAGGTACCGTAATGACTTTTCAACTGCTTGTAATTTATGGAACTATAACCACCTGGAATCAGGCAATGACTTTCAACTGTTTGTAATGTATGGAACTATTCTCAGCATAAATCAATAACAAAGTCTTACAAGTAAATTTTTGGAAAAAATAATCGCAAGAAAGAACCATAACTCATACTTCATTTCTCCCACATTCATTCTGTATAAATAAAGACAGAAGTAGAATCAGGGTGAGGACAAAACCACACCAGTATCAGACAGTACAAGTACAATCATAAGTGTACTCTCGATCATGTTTTACAAATGACAAAAAAAAATATTTAAAAATTAATGTTCCCGTGGTGACATCTGTCAAACAAACAAAAAATCCTTGTGTATAAATGATAATAGCATCAATTGATTTGAAAAAGCTAATGTAAAGCAGAAGCTATATATGGTCTAACGTTTTGACATAAACATAATCAATGTTGCTACAATTAAAATTAATGGTAAAAGCACATTGAACCAAATTATTTGATACGTTTGTTGCAGACGCTGCCTTTCTGCCTTCATATGGTTTAACAAAATCTTACAAGGAAAATGAATTGTTTTAAAAATATATATCTTTTTTTTTACATCAAATTCATTCACCCAAAGCGAACTGCTCACTATGATACAGGTACTGAAAAACTAAAAAAACATAATTCTCCCTATGTTGGTAACACCAACATATTATAAAGGTTGGTTTATTTGGAAATCCAGTTCTTTAGATTTGACCAGGCATGCAACAGTAAATAAGTCTGTATAACAATTAGGATGACAGCAAAAAACAACAACTCTAAGGCTGTCTTTGATTAGGCAGATGATGAAACAATGTATCGGTAGGCGAATGCAGCAGCCAGGGCCACTCCTACAGGCAGAAGCCAACCAGTCCATGTGGAGCTGTTGAAGGGGGAAAAAAGTTGATACAGTTAAATAATTGGAGCTCGGAGCCCAAAAGGTGACTGGATTTTTTTATGCAATTCTCTAACAGGTGCAAAATTAAATCAACAAAGTATATTTTGTATTACCTGGTGTCCCAGTGACAAATCACTTAAATAAAACCTTAGTTAAAGTAGGCTTTTGTGATAAAAAATATTTATTTTATTAAAAATAATAAGCATGGCCTGATAAAACATTTTCATTTTCAGCACATAGATAAATATTAAATGTGGCTGCTCATACAGAGTTATCAATACTTGCAATGACCAGCTTGTCTACTAGATATTGTTTTGTGACAGTTATTCAACTCCACCAGACCAAACCATAAAAATGCATGTGAAAGTAGGCCAAAGGTCAAATAAAGGAAATGTAACTTGTCTGAATGTGTTAAAACTGGAACTTTCATTTTTACCTCAAATGTACTGAACACCCAGAATTAAAACCAAGGTCATGTCAACCTTATAAATTATAACATTTCTGCCTCCGAAAGTGCACAAGATGACAGAGAATAGAAATGAATATAATTCTTATTTTGTTATGTCTAACAAAGTGCCATGTGATGCTATACATCTAATTTTTTACAAGATATAAATGAAGAGGTTATTCTCCAGTATTTTAGTGAACAATTAAGTGTAAATGGGAAAAGGTTTGGGGTCTTTGGGGAAGGGGTTGGAGAATACTGAAGGCCAACTATTATTGGTAATATTGTGGCTCGCCAAAAAACACTATATGTAGAATAAGACAAAATCCAGTTGTTAAGAATTTATTGATGCCACCTCTTTCAAAATGTGGTGCAACATCCTTATCTCTGACTTTACTGGATCACATTCTGATGAGCAATTGCTGATGCCCAACCCATTATAAGCTTTTAAATTCCCATCATATTCACTTCCATAATGGGAGACATGTTGTGAGCTTATCAATAATTGGGCTGATGACCTAATTAAGGGAGCACTTTAACACACTTTAAAAACTTAGATAATCTCTAGAGAGTTATTGAGCTCTGAACTACACAGGCTTGCAGGCTAAGACAGAACTACTGTAACATTAATGCTACAGCTGTAATATTAGACATGCATATACTTGATAGCCTGCATGTATTCATGAACACACTATACTGGGTTTATAGTAATGTAATCATCGCTAATGGATAGATAAAATCCTCCTCTTCTCTAGTCAAACATCTGTTGCATATCCACCTCATACTGTTAATGGTTTACAGTAATTCTGATATGGTAAAAGTGAGGCATTCACATTAGTAAATTCATATTTAATGGATCTAACATTTTCAGTACTGGGTTTTAAAAACACTCCACAAGCATATTTGATGAGTTGGTGTCTTTTTAAAAAAAAAAGAACACAGTACAAAAAATTATTTACTACTAATCAGCTAAGGAGAATTAAAGTCTTCAGTGTCTTTTTAAAAAAAAAACATTTAGGATTTATTCTGGCAGCTGTAAATTAACCTATAAGACTGCTGCTATTTTTACATTTAACAGTCAATTTTAATCCCATGCCTCCTCTCTAAGATTATATGCTTTATTGGGGGATGAGCTTAGCCAAACCAGCTAGTTACAAGGTTTATCAGTTGGTGTGATGGAAATTTTTTTGAGGGTACTGGGAAACATTAAACATTTTTGAGTGTCTCAAAAAAAAAGAAAGAAATGGTTTTTGATTTCCAGAGGGGGGAAATCACCAAATAGCAGATCAAAGTATAGAACAAATTGAGTCATCATAGGTGTCACCATAAGCTGACATGCATCAACAAAACCGAATTCTGTAAAAAAATAGTCAACCAAAGGCTTTTCTATCTTAAAAAATTGTACAATTTCAACATAAACAAAAAAGTTATTAACTTATTCTACAGTGCAACAATTGGAAGCCTACTAAACTTCAGCATCACCTGTTGGTGTAGGAATTCCTCATCTGACATCAAACACTGATTAAATAGACTAATCAAGAAAGATAGTAACATCACACAAATTAAACATCCTTAACTTGAAGAACTATTTGATGAAAAATTCTGTTGTAAAACTAAAAAAAAACTTTGGATGATACATCCAACTCACTTCATCAGATACCTAAGATCAGCTTGAGCAGGGCAAATCCAGTCTGTGCGAATTTACGATTGTGCTCCCCCAGCGATTACCAAATCTAAATGATCACTAAATAAGCCATTATTGTTACTCAAGGAGTTCATTTATGGCCGATTTCTACACTAGAGAAATACTTTAGATGTCTTGTGTTTAAATTGTTCTGATAGTAAAATGTTGCCTTGGTTAAACATATTTATTTATGTGCTGAAAATGAATATGTACAATGTATTAAAAAAAAGATTTCCATTTATTTGGATCAATAAAGAATCTAATCTATTAACTCATAACTGGGGACTTATCCAGACAAATTCAAAGTCACCACCCTTAAGTCAAAAGGTATTACCACTGTGCCACAGGGAAGACTCTATTATAGTATGTATTTTCATTATTTTTTTTTTAAATGTCTACTGAATTGGGGCAATATATGATTGTGGGGGAGCAGGTAGTCCAAGGTAAAAAAAAAAAAAGAAGAAAAAGAGAGATATTGAGTAAAAAGGTTAAAGCCAATGTGTAAATAGCATTAAGTCTCATCTCAAAATAAGTGTAATAAAAATATCTCAACATTTGAAGTTAATAAAAAAAAATTAAGTTGTTTCATTTTTAAAGCAAGATTAAATTTTAAAAGACTTCCCAAAAGTATTAGCATTAACATTTTTGTGTGACTTTGAATCCCATAAATTTTTGTTCCATTCATATATAAGGAATGTTTATAAACTGTAGAGTATACGCAATAATTGGTAAGGGGCCATCCATAAAGTACTAAATTTTAAAAAAAGTGAAAATTTCCATAACTCCTCTCTTCCGTACATTTTTTTGGAACCCGACTATGTATACTTACAAATGTGAATTTTTACCCTTAATATTATAATATATACAATGTCTAAACTATAATTGAAAAATTAATTGTAAACCATTTTAAAAATTATGTCACTGATTTCTCTGTCTGTTTCACATAGTGAATACAACTTTTGGTTCAGCCGAAACAAAATTACGTTAAAAAAGCACTGAAATATACAAAGGCGAAGGGTGGACTTCTTCAAGCTATCAAAGGCCAATTATTATTGTTGTCATATTAAGGAAATTATTTTTTAAACAAAAAACAACAGGATGAAGATAATTACAATACTTTACAGTAATATACTTATAATGTATAATTTGCTATTATGCAAAATCTCCAACCTCAAAAACCCCTCAGTCCATACATAATATGGACGGCCCCTATGTTCAAATATCATTTGGTAGTTTGCTTATTTCAAAAATAGCAAAGAAGGGTTGTTTCACTTTAGGTATAGTACACCAGTGAGAGTTGGGAAGGAAAACAAATTATAATTCAGATATTCTGCACTATAACACAATATGGAATCAATCAAATACAATAAAAGAAATAGTGATCAAAATGTCCTTGCATTTCATTTCTATGCATTACATACTTTCAAAATACCTGTTAAAATCTTCTAGTTCACATACATACTGGTACATTTTTTTAATCTCTCCGCAATCTTTTGGAGAGCACACAAATTTTGGTTTCCAAAAATAATATCGCATCCATGATTCCCCTCCCAAAATGTCAAACTCCAGACACTTAAGTTTTTGAACTGTCTTCTACTTCTTGTTTGTTTGTTGTTTTGTCTAGTCTGCTGAAAAGGCTCTTAGCCGAAAGTTTCTCCTTTTATTGTCCTGTCTTTTCATTTCAAGCTTCAATATACCTTGTTCCACTACTTTCTTCCTCTTTATGTCCCATTTAATGATTTGAAAAGTATTTTTTCACATAATAGTAAATTAAAAGCTCAATCATAATTCAAAAATTGTTTGAAAATTGTGGCTATTTGACAGGCAGACTTTAGTTTTTTTAAATTAAAAAGTCAATTCTTGGCAGGAAAGAGGCAAATTAATCAAACAATAGTTACTTTGATAAATGATATTACATTTTTTTAAAAACAACTGATTTATGAACTTATAGACTGGCTTGAAATAGATTCCATTAGACCACAACTGATAGATGATATTGAATTTGCCCTTTTTAGTGGTAATTAACACTGGACTTGAGCTCTTTCAAAGTTTTTACCTTGCAATATGAATCTCCATCTTTGCTAAGTGAGGAAGTTCCCCTTTGGTGGTATAGATAATTTCTTATATTTTGGGAGTTGCAGCAATGTAATTATGTTTTAATTACCTTACAGATACAAGTACAATCCAATTTACCTATTTGATGGAGTATCTGTTCCTGTAGGACCTGTGTTGGTCTGAAAAACAAAATTTATAATTATTTAAACAGAAAAAGACAAAATTTCAAAACTAACACTGACATATTTCAGGGGTTTAAATTTTAATGCAGATCTGTTTACCCTCAACCTCTTAAAATTGTAAAATATCATCACAAAATTGTTCAATACATTATCTTAATAGTAAAATAATAAACATATATAATGTATACACCTCAAAATTGTACCCCAAAATCTTAAGAGTAAACAGGTCTAGCAATGCCATCATTCAATGGGCTGAATATAGTTCTTATCATCCAAAGACTTTAACATAATTGTTGACCCCGCATTCACACCCCCCCCCCCTAGATCAAATAAGGCAAAGAGACAAAGTAAATAATTTAAAAATAAACCACTTACAGCATATGTCTTTTTAGATCTGTCATCCTGTTGAACAATAACAATTTTTGTTTTTTAATCAGTCAAGCAACTTTCAACATCATTCAGAAATGTTCAACTGTTATGCATTATATTATAATTTATAAGGTAAATTCACTTTTTGCCCTTTTCCCCTTTAAAAATGACTTTTTCTTTTAGTAATACTTATACTGTCCTCAACACCTGTGAGCAGAAATTTTAAGTTATCTCTCTGAAGAACATCTAAGTTTAATGTTGATTCTCAATAACAAGGATAACAACTTTAACTGCATTGGCATTATCTAAAATTAATGAGGTCACATTTTTTTTTCAAATCTTTTTCTCAACTAGTTTTAAAAGTGATATTGAGATTTCTTTCATGTAACGTAAGCTATAAAAAAAAACGTTTTATTGCTTTTTTCTAGTTGAAGCTCCCTATCTCTGAGGATTCTTTATTTCTCCTTTGTGACCCTAATGTTAGCGAGATTGGATTACTTTTTCTACACTGCCATTACTCTACACCTGATTAAACTTTCATTTTTTACATGCCTTAATTCCTTTTTCCCCCCCCCCCCCCCCCCCCGAGCTGTCCCTTAAAAATTTGTGTACTTTACCTAACTTAGTGTTTATTTTCATAATGTCCTCACAAACACTTCAAAGTACAATTTTCTACAAAGCTGGGTTCAATATTTTATGTTTTTCATGAAGGCTTCTAGAGCCTATTTTTTTGTTTTGTTTTTAAAAGCAATACCGGTATCATAATTATTGCAGACATTAAAAAAAAAAACACTATTGTTACTGGGGTACAACCATGTACTATTTATTTTTGGAGAGAAAAGAGCAAATGGGTTGTTTCATATCATATCCAATTTCATACCATTTGTGGTTGTCGTCGTTTGGCTAAGAAAGCATGTATTTGATAATGATGCCATGAACTGAAAGAAATTATTCCGATTAAAAGAATACATTTTTAAAAAGAACTATACTATTTGGACTGTTTCTATTAGCCCTACTTAGAACCAACAAACAAGATTCTGGAACTATCCTAAATTGAATAAAGCAGTGCACCCTACTCTGTTGTACAAAAAAATCCATTACTATCATGTATTTAACTTCACAGTTACTTACCGGATGTAGATCCCCTACAAAATAATCATTCATCAGTTCCCTGGCATCTGTTGAATGCCCTACATCCTCAAATGCTTCTGTAGCATCTCCCCCTGTATTCAATAAAATGAAATTGCCAAAGTCTTTTAACATGAGTCTTAAGAGCATGTTGGTTTGCAAGCAAGTGGTTTGCCATTGTAACTCTCTAAATGCATAGGTCAGGTCCAAAATTGACAATAAAAATCAAAAACCCTAATAACCTTAAAACGAGCTATTAAAACATTTGGTGACCTCATGGGACAGAAAATATATTTTCCACTAAAGCAATGTAAAATATTTTTACAGGGACAGATAGAAGCCCTAATTTTTTATAAATTTTAAGAAAAAGAAAAGAACTTTTGCAAACACAAAAAAATTAGACTTATTAATTTAGAGAGATAAGACGATTTGGATGGTTTAAGAATGCATTTCCGACTCACCTGCTTGTTCTAATAAAACCTCCTCACCTCCTGGATGCTACAATGGAAAAAAATAAAAATAAATAAATGACAAATTAATATAACACATTTAATTTGTAAAAACATTCATGAAAAAATGTTTTTACATGTTCAAATATTTTTGAAGTAAACCCCTAAAATAGTTGAGAAAGTTGAAAAAGCTGTATAGTTCATTATTGATTGTGATGATAATGAAGACAAGTGGGACATGGGAAACCATTCATATAATATTTTGAAATATATTAACTGCTCACAAGGGGGTATTTAGTGAGAGTTACCATGTGTGAAATGTTAAAACACAAAGTGTGTTTAAATTTGGCTGAGGTTGGGTTTTTCTTATTTTCTTGAGAGTAAACAAATATTTAATGCATATATCCTAATCCTAATGAATTATACTTTTTGTCATTCACATTATCCTTATAAATAACATGAAACTAGATTAGTCTCCCAGGTAACAAGGTAGAGATAATCATGCCCAATACTGGCAAAGAACTATGGGCTACATTTTAAACACTAGCTGATGCAATATTTTTCCATGGCCAACAGTTTAATATTGCAAAATCACAGCAAGGAGTGGGTTCTGCCCCTCTATAATTTTAAACTAAACTGGCATCATGTGTGTTTGCAATTCTATTTTTGCAGGGTTAAGTTCAAATTTCTATAACATAGGTGGGCAACCTTTTTTTTCCAAAGCAGACAAAGTTGTCGCAAACTTGACTATGACATAAAAAATTGATACTAATTACCATTATACTTAACTTATACGGTGTGCTTTTAACTAATGGAAGTTAACTTAAGTACATGCTTCCTCATATTTTAACCAAACTTTAATGTAAAATTTAACATTACTTTTGCTGATCAAGCTGAAAAAAATGAAGGGATTTCAGAATCTTAAGTTACATCTCTACCTCCAAATATGCATCATATTTCAGGATCTGTATTTCGGATATTTTACTTTGTAGAACACTATTCATAAGCCTAAATATGGACAGGTGGTTGAAGATGATGAAATAAAATTAAAAAATAGGTCGACGTTTATTATAGTTTAGGATTATACTGTAAAACAGTTTTGAGTGTATTACAGTACGAGTCTACCAACAACACAACAGTCAAACTGAGAGACTAAGAGTTTAGGACCTAATTAAACTGACATGCTATTGCTAGTCTATTCAAGTCTTGTTTAGAAGTACCAATATAAGTGCATCTTTATAGTTACTAGTAGGTAATCCTATCTGTAATCTATAGCAGGATGTTCTTAAACAGGGAAGCCCACAACTCCTGGGGAGGTGAGAGGCAGGGTGAGGAGGGCGCAGGACAACCTAGAAAATCTGCGGGGGGGGATGTTTTAAATCAAGAGGAGGTGTAGCGCTTAAGGATAAGAACCCCTGGCCTTTAGTATTTTGATTAGCATTTATTATTGTGGGAGTGACGGAAACATGTTTTGAAATCAAGATGGGAGTGCGGAAAATTTTAAGAACGCTATCTACAATATAGAAAAGTGATGTACTACTATTAGTGCCACTTTTATATTGAGGCACAGAAAATTTTCATTTGGCAGATGAAGATTTAAATACGGTATTGTAAAAATTAGAATTAGCAGGTACTTTGATACTCTCTATGCATAACAATCAGCACTGGTTGTGAAAAGCTGCAAAGGCAAGAAAAACCTTTAACTAACTCAACTAACTGTGACTTCGCTTAATTGACTTGTATTCAGTATAATTTTATATAAATAAATCGATTTGCTCATCTGACATCAGTGATACTGACATAGAAAGCTTTTTTATTTCTGCCATGTTAAGGAAATAACTACAATATACTGGAAAACCTGAAAATGAAAACAATGAAGCAACTGACATGTCAGCAGAAAGCCTTCTTCAGCTAATAAAAAACAAGGTAACAACAAAATAAAATAAACTAAAGTAAGCAAACTTGTCTGATGCTGTGGAGAGTTCCAGAAAAAAAACAAGAAATTGTGCCATTTTTACCAAAGCCGGTGTACATCACAACCCCCCCCCCCCCCAGAAATATTAACTATTAAAAAAAGAATGATTAAGTAGGTACTTTGACACACAATTTAAATATTGTCAGATTGTCATGAATGATACATCATTTTAAAGGGCTAGCTATAAGCTTTACAACAACACCAATTTCATCTTTCTATCTTTTATAGAAGTGGAGTTTTGATTTTTTTGGTGATTTTTTAAAACCCCCTTCTTTATCTTAGTATTTAACTTTAACTGAAAAAACGTTGTGACCCACTTTCCAAATTTCTGCCTTATTTTGCCCAAAACTTTGTGATTTTAAAAAGATAATGCTACCAAATTTTCAGGAGACATTCTCAATGCAATATACAACCCAATAAACAACAAAAGTTTTATATAACATCAAGACTTTTATTTTTTTATATATTTATTTGTGGGTATGTTCAGAAAAAAGGAAACAGAAAAATTGGGAAAATCATTATTTATACCAAAAAAAAAACACGAAAAAATAACATGTTTATTGAATTTTAACTAATTTTATTATGCTTGTTTTACATTTTAAATCAATTATTATATTTATAAAAAGGTAAGTAGTCTTTTTTATATATATAAAATTGAAACCATGTAATTATAAATAAAAATTACTCTAATAAAATCATCTATGATGATGAGACTAATTTATTAAAAAATGTTATTTGATATATTAAATAATTGTCTATGTACTGCTTTTCAATGTTCTACTAAAAATATAATTACAACAATGATGTTGTTTGATTCTTGATTATTAATTTGATGTATTTTAATAAAACTGTTTAAATAGGCTTAACTAAAAAATATATTATTAGTAAGTGTGGTTGTTGATTTTCGTAGTACTAGTAATAGAATTAGATTAATGATTAAGAAAAATTAAGCTTAGGCCTAAATATAGACTATTATAGGATTATAATAACAGTTGTTTATAATTATAACTGATATTGATATGTATGCCTCACTTTAGTAATATTCATATTCTCTGAAATAATTAATAAGACAAAAATGAATAATATTATTGACATTACTATTGTAAAACTATTAAATAGTGATTCAATAATTATGAAGAACGATAAACTGTGTACCGGTACCGTACACAATTTTTAACGTAATAAATAAAACTTAAAACCAACCCTTGGTTACTACATAGACTACATAATTAAACTTTTAAGTTATTTGGTTATAATCTTTTCTTAAAATTATTCATTTTAAATGTCTTATCATTATTTAGATGTTTAAGGATTTAAAATTAAAGAATCACAGTGATAGCAGCCATTTCCTGCTTCTTGATCAACATAAAAAAAAAAAGACAATTTCATACCCCCACTCTTTTTGGGATGCATAACTTTTTATAGACAAACTCAAGATAATAACTCGAACAATGGAGAAAACTCTTAAAATGAATGTAGATTGGGTAGCTCTAAACCTTATTTTGGTTGCTTAACTAGTAAAAAAGTATTTATGCGATTTATATACTAATCGAGTCATTATAATAATACTGTCCGGGATACACAAAAAATCTAGTGGCATAAACCAATATATCACCGGAACACAAAAACTGATACGTCACTGATGAGGAAAGCATTATTTAATAAACAAAGGTGACGTAGTATTCGATTTTCCAAAGATACCGTGTAGCCGTACGCCATATTGAAGAACACGTTTTTTCGACATTTTAGGACATACGCAGAACGGTGCGTGGACAAGTATTGATATCCCTAGATTAAGTGAACAAGTTTCAGTAAGCTAAAATAAATTATTGAGTATTTAGCCTAAATAAGTATTTAATTACCAAAATTATTATATATATTAATTATAATTTTAGGCTTTAGGCCTAAATAATTTTATAAGGAATATGAATATGATAGTTATAGTGTATATTATATAATATAATAATTATTATAAAAGATAATGATAATGGCATTGGGCATGGTAATAATGGTGCATTTAGTAAAGGCAGGGGGCCTAGACCTGATAATACACAAACGCTTTGACGCTAGCTCTACAATAATTGAATATTTAAAATAAAATAAATATTACTAATACTAATATTAGTAATTATAGTAATTAGGCTAAAAAAAATATTATGCCACACCTCCTCGAGGAATTTTGTGACATCATAAACTTTATTGTGAACAATTAGATATGTTGATTTAGCATCACTGTGAGATTTCACTTCCGATAATCTGAATACTTTCTTGTCTTCAGCCATTACATTCAATTTAAAGCGTGCCTTTTCCAAAAGGTATCACCACAGTGTATAGTCCAAAGGTATGCTTAGTCGTATGACACGGCAGTCTGAACTGCTGTACAATGAATGTGCATAAATATGCTGAATTGTGGGAAGTACGGTGCGTGTAATATTTTAATACCAACATATTTTAACATGATTTGGATAATAAACAGAAATATTATAATAGTTTTTATTAATCCCACTAAATAAATAATGTTTAATGACATTTTTTAGAAATATAGTTGTTTCGTAACGAACCTTTTTCTAGAAAAAATATGCATGTTAATATTCCGTGACGGATTTGAACCTAGAATTTTAGTTATGTAATGTAAAGAATGCAAAATTGAAATCAAGTGGGCGCTAACAGTTGGCATCAATCTTACATGGGAATAGAAAATGATAAAAAATCATTTAAGAAACATTTTAAAACTTTTGTGTTTAAATAGATTTAAGAAAATTAGAGCACAGTGAGCATGCTAAAGCATTTCTTTATCCGCGATACAATGCGTGCTGCTTTGTAAACCACCCAAGGAAGTGATCATACAATAGAATATCGTCCACATTCACAGACCGAATTCCACATTCACAGACTGAATTAATATCGCTTTGTCAGATCTTGATAGAACCCAGTCCAAGATATGACCATCCCTATGCGTTGGTTCAGAAACATGCTAACTAAATTAACCGAGTCAAACAACTGCGTAAGATGACGAATATTCCTGCAATTTTGATCATCCAAGTGAAAGTTAAAGTCACATAAGATGAGTAGATTTTTGTTGTTAATAGAGGTTACAAGTTTTCCCAAGTCCTCATGAAACGTGCTGTCTTTGAGCTTATTACCGTTTGTTTGTTATGAGAAATTACAAAGCTTAAACTCCTAAAAGAAGTGAATATTAGCTGATTACACAGTTTCACAGTAATGGAAGATAGATGGATTACAGCCAACCCCCCACCACTCTGACCAGAAGACCGAGGACGATGGAAAAAAACGTAGCTGGCAGGGGTCATGTCTCTAATTGTTGGTTCATCGCCACCTTCATGAAGCCATATCTCCGTGATGATAATAATGTCAAGCGACTTCTCAGTGATAAGGTCATTGATGATCAATGCTTTCTTTACAGATGACTGCGCATTATTGAGCCCAATGGTAACATCGCCAGTCTTTTGACGCACTAACTAACGCACATATTCTGGTGAAGGTCTGAGATTACTCTCTTATGACCCCGGCTAGTAAATTGACTATCAACTCCATCTGTTGAGCTGAGCCATACAACATTTCCCTCACAAAGGATCCTCCAACCGCCCTGGCTTCCCCCGGGAGATCTAGTGCGGGACACTCCGTCAACAGATGTTCTAAGGTCTCTGGGGCCAGGCTGCAGTGCCGGCAGGTAGGATCTCTGTTGTTGTCCAACCTCCAGAAATATGTGCGCAGGGGGCAGTGCTCGGTGCGCATCTGCGTTACTAGACTCTGCACTCTACGACCTAACCCCCACCATGGGTCTTGTTTGCTAGGAGTAGGCAAGTTCGAATAGACGCCTCTGGCGGTCGTGTTGTCAGCCCATTGCCTGTACCACTTCTGCCTGAAGTGGTCCGCCAGCCAGTTTTTGACTCCCAAGAAAGTCATTGGTACTTCTGGCTGAGGCTGGGCTGCCCCGGTTTTCGCCAGAGTGTCAGCTATCTCATTGCCACTGATGTTGACATGCCCTGGTATCCATTGCATTTCAACCTTGCACCCTATTTCACCGAGTCTGCATATGTCGTTGTGAATGACGTCGACCAAGCTTGTGGTACCCTGTCGCTTCTCCAAGATCTCAAGAGCAGATCTTGAGTCTGAGAAGACAACAATATCGAGCCCCGCATGTTCCGTCCCTTCCAGAGTGATATGGACTCTCTCCAAGGCCTTGTGCATAGCTATGAGCTCCGCGTCAAAGTTTGACGCTGTAGTCCCACAAGGCCCGGAGAGTTTTTCATTGGGTGGTCCACCTACTGGGTACTGAATAAGCGCACCGTACCCAGCAGTTTTTCTCCTAAAGTCAGCAGAGCCGTCCGTGAACACTTTCACAGGTATGTGCGTGAACACATCCATGGTCTCAAGGGCAGCCACTCTCTGTACATGTTCAGGGCTTCGCTTCGTCACTGCTGCATCTGTCAGGGCCAAATGTATGGAGGGGCGTGAGGGTTCCGCATAAGGCGGATTAACTGGGATTTGGGTCAGACGTTCTCTATTTGGGGGCAGGGGAACTGTCCTCTCCAGCTCCACGACCTGGTGCATGAAAGAGGACCTCTTTAGTCTCCTGCCACCCACCCAGTTATTTTGCATTTGAAAGGCTGGTTCATTTTCACCGAGCCGTCGGTACCTCTCTACGGTATTTAAGATGGATTTTTCCCTCCTAATTTGTAGCGGTTCTACATTGGCCAAGACTTCTACAGCAGCTGTGGGAGTAGTCCTGTATGCGCCACAGATGAATCTCAGTGCCTGATTCTGGATTCGGCCCAGTTTTTCCAATGCGGTCTTGCTTGCAAAGGATTGGACCGGCATGCTGTAGTCCATCACCGACCTTACACTGCTTAGAAAGAGAGCTCTAAGCGTACTTGCGTTCGCGCCCCAACTTGTGCAAGCCAATTTTTTCACCAGGTTAAGCTTGGCGGTCGCCTGGGAGCAGAGGTCCTGTACAAAATTGTGCATTTGTACCTTTTGGTCCAGCTTAACTCCCAAGTAGACCGGTTGTTTGTCCCACTTTAGTGCTACATCGCCCACCTTGAGCTCGATCTCCTGTTTGAGAATGGTCCGCCCATTTGTGAAGAGTGAGTAGACCGTCTTCTCGGTGTTAATTTCCTGATGCCACCGCCGCATGTACCTGTTGATAGCAGAAAGGTCCTGCTGTAATAGCGTCTGCAGGCGGTGGACATCCTTCCCGGTGCTCCAAATTACCAAATCGTCCACATACATGGCAGAGCTAGTCGTTAGCACCTGTGGCAGGTCATTGATGTAGGCGAGGAAGAGGGTGCAACTGAGGGCAGACCCTTGCGGGAGTCCTTCCTCAAGTGTCCTCTTCCTGGAGGTTTCACCGCCGAATTTCGTGTTTATCGTCCGGTTTGTAAGAAAACCGGAGATCCACCTGTACATGTTCGCGGTTACTCCCAACGCCTGCAGCTTCAACAATAGACCGGACCTCCAAACTCGGTCGTAGGCTTGTTTGAGGTCGAAAAATACTGCCACTGTATGGGATTTCTTTTGGAGCCCATCTGTTATGGACTGGAGAAGACGGAGCACTTGGTCCACTGGCTGCATTCCCTTGCGGAAGCCCGCCTGTATTGGGCTGAGACTCTTAGTGCTCTCCAAGTGCCAGTAGAGTCTCTGGTTGACCATTCTCTCGGCCACCTTCCCTAACATCGATGTCAGGGAGATCGGCCTGTAGCCATCAGGTTTATCGAGTTTCTTCCCTTCTTTGGGAATAGGGACAATGGTAGCACTTAGCCAAGCTTTGGGTAGGATTCCCGTTACCCATGTTCTGTTGATAATTTCCAATAGCGTTTTCCTTGCTATTGGGCCAAGGTTTTTTATCATTTCGTTGCAGATTTTGTCCTGACCTGGTGCCTTGGCGGCGTCACACTTGTTAATGGCGGTTTGCAATTCGGCCAAAGTGAAAGGTGCGGTGAAAACCTCAGCATGCGGCCCCCACTTCTGGGCCACTTCTCCATTTCGCCGGAGACGGTTAAGGTTCTGGCTCTCTCTGGTCTCTTTCTGCTTCCGGTTTATCTTTGCAAAATGCTTGTTTAAGGCATCGGCACTTTTGGCATCTGTGGTAGCCGTGCCTGTCGTCGTTTGCAACGGTCGCAGATTCCTGATTTTTCCCGTGCAGGATAATGAGTCCATCAATCGCCAGACCTTTTTGCCGTCTTTCAGGTCGAGTTTTCCACATGAACTAACCCATTTTTCCTTTTTTGCCCTATCGACCTCCCGCCGGACCTCTGCCGTCAGTTTATTGTAAGCCGCTCGAGCAGCGGCCGTCTTCAACTTACCGGCTTTGGTCCGGGCTCTCTTTCGTTCACGGACTAACTTTGCCAAATTCTTATTCCAAAAAGGACGGAACTTGCGGTTCCCGTTTGTTCTCGGGATTGTTTGTTTTGCCACAGTGAGGATACCACTCACAAAGTCGTTATATGCATCGTCAATGCTTTTGGATGTATTGGGAGTCTCAGTTGACTCCGCAATCATGCGTTCTGTTCGCTCCTGGAACAGGGACCACTTGGCTTTGCCAAACAGCCAGTGTCTCCTAGCAAATCTAGGTCTTATAAGTGAAAGACAGATTGTAATGAGGGTAGGTTTGTGGTCACTGCCAATCTCATCTAGTACTTCACACTGGGTCTTCGCCTCGAGCTCAGCAGAGACCAGTGTAATGTCGGGACGTGACAGGGCACTATTGCCCGTGTGGAGCAGTGTGGGTTCACTGTCGCCGTTCTGAAGTCTGATAAGATTGGTTGTGAGCTCAACCTCCTCTAAATAGCGCCCAGAGGCGTTAGTATCAGGGTAGCCCATATCCCCCATATGGGCGTTAAAATCACCAGCTATGATCCTATCACTAAAGGTAGTTGTGCCCTGCAGTGGCAGGCACAGGGTGTTCCTAGGAGTGTTATAAATATTGCTTATAGTAAATGATTTACCACCTAAAATTACCTTCAGGGTCAGAGTATCTGTCCCACCAATGTTTCACTATATTACATGATAGCTTTTTAAAATAATTGTTGTGACCTTAAAGATACTTGACTTGGCTTCGTTTTTTTTTCCCCCGTCAAAAATACCGCTTGTCCGAAACATTGTAAATATTCAGAAGATTTCCCCCTAACATATTATATCATATAATCTATATTTTTTGAGTTTCAACTCTGCTTGTTTCTCTCATCATAACTTTCGTGAACGTAGGACTAGTGAATAAAAAATTAAACATTAGAATATTGCAAAATATCGCATGATAAATATATTATATAATTTCAAGATTTATAATAATGCGAAAGATTTAAAAATTCGATTCGTGTCTGCAAAATAAAGTCATGTCTTAAAAAGAACGTATCCGGTTCAATAAAACATTTTCCCCTTAAGGAAAG